TAATATATATGCTCAACCAACCTAAATATATCTCTAAATCTTAGGTCGGAAAACCTATATATTTCTCATAGGATGTCAAACGGACCTAAAGATTTTTTCAACCAAACCGACCTAAAACACGTGCAATACTACTCGATATTTAGGTTAGAATCATCTAGGTCGGAATACACGGCACCAACTATGCAGCAGTGTCTCAATAACAAAGTCCAATGAATATAAAACTAGTAACACAGCAATGAGGCAGTAAAGAATTATTTCAATTGATAAGTTAAGATCCTGAGCTGATAACTTTAAGAGTGAAATACATTATATAAATATCCAAAATTAGGATACTTTTATTTTCCTCCTTAATCCACTCTTGTCTCTCCGTTCGGATATCCATACTTTGTAATAATCAACCTACAGATATTTAGGTCAGAAATCTTAGGTAGGAAACCCGCTAGATTCGTTTTCTCTAAGTTCGATTAGCTGGTAGCGCTTAAATGTTATGTTTTATTTAAGAATTTCGACTGAAAATCCGCTATTTCATTGAAAACTCTTTAATAGTATTTTTCAACACGCTTTTTAGACTAAATCAAGGTTTTGACGTGCTGCTCTCGCCCCTAAATCTTTTCTATATGGCTGTTAGATTCTAATTATTTATTTTGATTATCCCGAAACCTCTGTGCTTTTGTTATAAAATATACAGGGTGTCCCACGAAACATGACAGTATGCAAGAGGACTTGAATGTCGTCTTGATTTTTGATATAATTTGCTGTGCTTATTTGTCAACCTAATTTTAGAAGTAAATTTCTAGAGATAAATTTTGTAGAGAGAAATTTAAGTTAGTTTAGTCCTTCTCATGTCCTTCTTCAGTTCTCGTCAATATGATATATTGCTCAGTAAAATATTGTTGTTTAAATAGTTCCATTCCCGGAGTTACAGGGTGTCCCCAAAACATGACAATAGCAAGACGACTTGAAAGTCGTCTTAAATATTTGAATTTATTTGTGACATATTAGTCTTCTATCTACTTTAACATGTACGATTCTTGAAACAATTATCACATAATTCTCCTAGCCCTGGCATTTCCAAAAAGTGGTCTGCGTTTTTTGTGCTTTCAATATTACCGGAGATATAAAGTGTTAGGTTCAGATTTCAATTTTGTTAAATAAAAGCAAAATTGTCGAAATCTGAACGAAATTCTGCATATCTCGGGCAATATTGAATTTAAATAAATTTTAAAAATATCACAAAGTTCTTTCAGGAAGATCAGAGTTTCATCAGCTTCTCGTTCCAAAACCTGAAAACAAATATTTGTAAAATTACAATTTCATGTCTAGATCTAATCATGGGTGTGTTTTCTCCTGTTTTCCATCGAACTGTCCTTTTCATAAACAAATCGTTTTTGTTTGTTTATTTTCTGCTGTTTTTTAAAAATATTTTTATTAATTATTTTGAAGGTTGTTTATCGTTAGAACTGACGAGGTTCAGCCCAGACCTAAATATATTTCTATAAAATGGGGAACTAACACTTTAATAACTCTGAATTTTTAAGTAAAAGTTGTTTTGTCTTCATGTTTGTTAGTGCACGATTGTGCCAAGATAAATAAACGAAGAGGGGAGGGAGGAGTAAGAATATAAGTATACCTCCGTACACCTCTCAATCTAATGTTGTATTTTTCTAATTTTTTTCGGGTAGCGCAGGAAGGTTTTAATCAATATTTTGGATGTTGAGGGAAACTACACAATTTTGCTAAAAATTTAATATTTAAAAAATAAAAAATTTGTTCATTTTTAAAATTGGGTGATGGTGACCTCGCCACTTTAAATGGGGAAAAAGAATTCTATCCGAATACTGATTAATTAAACAAAACTGAAAATTTTAATTTTTTCTCTCTTAAAAAAATCGAGGAAAAGATTGATTTTAGGGGAAAAATCAGAGTAAATCGTTAAGGAAACGATAACAGCTCTGTCATTTTGTATTAATTTGTTGACCCCCGAAGAGAAAAAATGGGGAATGTTGGAACATTTTAACCCATTTATACAGACTTACATGAATTTCGAAGTAAGCCCCCAGACATATGGAATAAAGAATTCCTCTGGCTCTTCCTCCTCAACATATTTAAACTTCAACTCTCCCAACCTGAGATTCAATCGTCGTCGTATATATCAATACAGTCAAGACAGCTTTCGATTTAAATTTTTTGATTTCTACCAAGATTTTAAACAACATTGATAGACATACACATTAACACAAAGAGAAGCTGTCAATAACTGCTTCACTTTGTTCACTTGTAGATTAAAAAAGCTTGTTAATAATCAAAATTTAAATCGAAAAGTTGTCTTCATTGTATTGATATAAACGCCGACCACTGTATAATAAAATAATCTTACGAGGACAAAAATGTAATAATAAATTTGACTTGAAACCTGCAGGTCCATTTTCAGCAGTGTTCACTGTGCGTATAGCTTGGCATGATTAATTTTCCATTTTGACACATTATAGAAACGAACTTACATTGCAAGTCTTTCTCTTGGGAACTGATGAGCACCCTCCCTACACAACCAGATTATATCATCAAATTTATACTTTATAACTATCAATTTCAATTAAAGTAATTTTAGCAAGGCAGTTCCAATTTTTTCAAAATGGCAGTTTTTATCTTAGGGTAGCTCGATTTTAGCACCAAAAATTAGGGCCCTAGTGATATTACTGCGCCAAAATATTTCAAGAACTTCACAAAAAA